CAGGAGGAGGAGGAGAAGCGGGAGAAGAAGGAAGAGGAGGGAAGGCAAGAAGCCAAGTGCGCTGGCGCCATTTTAAAACATCCTACCCCTCCCAGCCATCCCTTCTCGTGGCGCGGGTGTTCCTCCTAGACCTGCCGACGGGTGTCGCAGCGGACCAGGAAGAGAAGCAGGAGATAAGGAGGAGGAGGAGGAGGAGGAGGAGGAGGAGGAGGGGGAGGAGGGGGAGGAGGAGGAGGAGGAGGAGGGGGAGGAGGAGGAGGAGGAGGAGGAGGAGGAGGAGGAGGAGGAGGAGGAGGAGGAGGAGGAGGAGAGAGGGAGGGGACAGGGGGACGCGAGGCCGAGGAGGAGGCAGCAGGCCCGCGCGCGCCCCGGGAGCTCGAGCCTCCTCTCGGCAGCTGGGCCTCCCCTCTCTGGCGGCGTGGGCGCGGGCTCGTGAGCAGCGCGCGCATGCGCGCGCGCGACAACCGCAACTGTCTGTAATCATTAGCGGCGCGCAAAGGGGGGTAGGAGGAGGGGGGAGGGCTTCTTAGAAACACCCTGCTTCTTAGAAGGCGCCGGCCTCACATCTGTAGACGAAGCCCACGCCTTCTAAGAAGCAGGGGTGCTTCTAAGAAGCCTTCCCCCCTCCCCCTACCCCCCTCTGCGCGTTGCCGAAATCAAACCTGCAACCTCTCACGGCACTCATCCTGCCACCCGCTCCGCCCAACGTCCACCACCCGCAGTCCATCGCCTGCCTCCCGCCGCGCACCATCACGCCAGTGCCCGCAGTCCGCACGAGCAGCACCACCCAGCACCCAACGGCTCAGCACCAGAGCTGGCCTACCTAGCCATAGCCCGCTTACTTCTCCACTACTGCGGGATGACGATTAATAAAACATGGGAGAGAACGATTAAAACAATAGTTTTCTGCTATTTCTGCATAATTTTCTGACTGGAGGAGAACGATTAAAAACATAGTTGTTCAGCCCGCGGCTGGTTTTTTCTAATCGTCATCCCGGGCGCCGCCGCGTGAACACGACCCCCGGTCATTTATTAATCGTCATCCTCCATTGCCACCTACACTTAGATGGAAGCAGCAGGTGTTCTCGCGCGCATATCGCCCATCGCGCGAACAAAGCAATGCCAACTTGAAGACGTGTCTGTCGTCCACTCAGTGCCCTTTCGCACTTAGCTGCGGCTTAACTAAGCTGGGTAAGCTACGTACGCCCGTGTTCGGTCACGCGCAACGGGATGCGACCACAACAGGGGAAGAACCAAGTAGCGCCCTGCATGCGCCAGCTAAACTGGAAACGACTCAACCAAGGTGGGCTGATATTACTGGGGTAGGACCAGGGAGTGTGCGAAGCGTGTCGCAGTCTACCGGTCCCTGTAAAAGCGCTGACACACGTCGAATTAGGACGATCCGTAAGAACCAACTGCTCCCCATGCTGTCGCTCCACTTTGTTCGTGCCGCAGCTTATGCATGTGTTGCGTTGGTGTTGCTGCTGCTTCTACTGCATCTCACCCTCCTCCTCCTTCTCCACCTCCTCCCTGGCCCCCTCCTCCTCCTCCTCCTCTTCCTCGTCCGCCTCTCCACCTGCTGCTGCCCACATCTCTCCCGACAAGGATCGGATGTGTCCTCGAGGCCTGCCAGAGGTGGCGACAGGCGACAAAGTGAGCTCATCGGCCTGCTCGATGGCCTTCTCCTTCCCCTTGCGGTGGGAGTCCTGGGTGCTGTCCAGGCCCAGGCTGGCCTGCGGAGCGACCGAGTCCGCCCACCTCTTCTTGCGCCCGCAGCGCTTGCATCTCTTGACGGCGGATTGGCTCCAGCAGTCGCACTCACCGCACTGCCGCCACCAGCCCTGCCACGACAGCGACGGCCTCTGCTGCCCAGCCCATTGCGACAGCGCGGGTGGAGTGTAGGCTTACTGCCTAGGGCAACGGGGCTCACAACATGGACTACCCACTGATGGAGCAGTTGCTTGCCCCAAGCCGAGCCCTTGGGGGTCATGGGCGTGTGAAAACAGTTCCCAGCCACCGCTCCCGCATCGGGCTCCGAACCGCATTTCTGCTGGAAAGGGGCACGGGACACGGCGGCACCGCCCCCTGGCCCCGAGTGCGCGTGCATTCCCTGCGCCCTCCCCCACCCCGCACACACAAACAGACACGCACACACGCCATCGCTCGGACGTCCATTCCCTGTGTTTTTTTGGCTTCGTGCGTGGTTTCTTCGGCAAATGATCAAGGATTGCACACGTCCGAGCGATGCCAGGCACGCACAAACAGACACGCACACGCACACGCACACGCACACGCACACCCACACAAACACACAAACACACAAACACACACACACACACACACACACACACACACACACACACACACACACACACACACACACACACACACACACACACACACACACACACACACACACACACACACACACACACACACACACACACACACACACACACACACACACACACACACACACACACACACACACACACACACACACACACACACACACCACACACACACACACACACACACACACACACACACACACACACACACACACACACACACACACACACACACACACACACACACACACACACACACACACACACACACACACACACACACACACACACACACACACACACACACACACACACACACACACACACACACACACACACACACACACACACACACACACACACACACACACACACACACACACACACACACACACACACACACACACACACACACACACACACACACACACACACACACACACACACACACACACACACACACACACACACACACACACACACACACGCTCGTTCCTCCAGCGGCGGCGAGGCGGCGGCACCGCCGCGAGCACTGAGGCGGAGCACTCTCAGTAAGATGCCCACGCGGCACAGCAGAGGGGTTGTTTGGATAGGGGCAGACACTTGTGAAGGGGCCCTGGGGCACACAAGTAAATACACACAAATAAAAATGTTCCCCACACTTTCCCATATTTTCTGGGTTTTTGTCTTCCCCCCCACTTCCCATATTTTCCCATATTTTCTGGGGAATCGAAGATTAATTCTGTCTGTGTGTTTGTTTCCCCTCCTGAACTTGCACGTCGAAGGCGCCGTTGAACCACACACACACACAAACACACTTTGGAAGTCGGTGGCGGCACCGCCGCGAATACTCAGGCGGAGCACGCTCAGTAGGATTCCCACGCGGCACAGCAGAGGGGTGGTCTGGATGGGGGCAGACACCTGCACGTCGAAGACGCCGTTGGACCACACACACACACACACACACACTTTAGAAGCCGGCGGCGCATAGGATCCTCAGGCGCGGGCAGCAGATGGAAATGCGAATTGCAATCGAAAATTATCGAGAGCGCGGCGTGCAGCAGCTCACCGCAGCATGCAAGCGATGAGTGAGAATAGGAACTGTAAATCCAGCCGGACGTGCAGCGGCCAGAAAACTATGAATTCGCTCAACTCAGTTAACTGAAACGCGGGTGCCGACGGCAAATTGCGGCCACTGAGTCACCACACGGGTGTTCGGCAGTGAAGCGCGGGCATGAAGCTGAAAAACGAATATATTGTGACCAACCAGCCGACTGAAGTTGAATGGCATAATGGGAACAACACAAACACAAACACACACACACACACACACTATGATGGAAATATGCGGGATGTCTTACTCTGGTTGCCTCGAAGGAAAGTCGTGCATTCCTCAACGCGAGAAGAATCACTGAGAGTCCCGAGGATGTCATCACAACCACCCTGTTCAGGTATAGGGTCACGCCCTCTGGAACGCCAGGGAACGGGCCGCTGGTGTTGTCATTGCGCACCTCAAGCGCTTTCTCTCAAGCCTCGACTCATGACGTTGGCTTGTACGAGAACACGGACCACCCGAAGATGGCGCAAGAAGGTGCAACCACAGCGGGAGTCATTGTGGTGGCCCTCCTTTCCCGCGTTGCTTCTTTGTGCCGCCCAGAAGCTTACGAGGAAACTTTGATCTGGAATGGCACAATTTTTGATCTGCGGGGCGAGAGCGAACCTCTTCCGCTAAAAGCTAGGCGGGCTACGCACAGCTTTAATTAGGGAGACAGGGCACAGGAAGGCGGGGCCTCAGGCGGCCGGAGTGGGCGAAGCCCAGGGGTGCAGGCGGTAAAATCTGGAATGGCACAAGCGAGCAGTAGAATCAGGGATGGAGACGACAAAAGCTTGCCCGACCGACTCAGAGTTTTGGGTTATGTCAGGAGTGTCCCCCTACAGGGGGATTTTCGACGAAAAATGGGCCCGGCTCGGTAAAATTAGACTCGGTAAAAATAGATCTCGGCTAAAGTAGGTCGGTATCTGATATCTAGTTTTAACGAGTGGAGAGTACCCCAACAAGGTCAAACATACAACAACAACAAAAACAATCCCCAGATTATGTTTGGACTATTTTTGGGGTACGTTTTATTTTTCGTCGAAGATCCCCCTGTAGGGGGACAGGCCCGACCTAAGTTTTGGGCCCCGGGTTTCAGTTGCCCCGCCGTGCGCCTCGCTCTCCCTCTCTCACTACTGCTGCTGCTGCTCCTCCTCCCCCTCCTCCCTGATCCCTCTCCTCCCTTCTCCTCCTCCCCCTCCTCCTCCTATCCCCTTCTTTTTCCTCCCCCCTCCCTCCTCTCTCCTCTCTCTCCCCTCCTCTCTCTTCTCAATGCTCATTGCGCCCTCGCCGCCCTCGGCACCGTCATCATTGCATCGCAGCCCTCGGCGCGGCCGTGGTCACAGAGACGTTGCCTGCGGCCGCGCCCCACGCGGCGCGCCCACACGGGCCCCAGTCTTGCCGGCGCTCGGACGTCCATTTCCCGTGCATTTTTCGGTTGCGTGCGTGTTCTTTTTTGCTCGACGGTCCAGGATGGTCCTCGATGGTTCTCGCCGAAAAAATGCACACGTCCGAGCGATGCCAGGTCCTCGGCACGGTCGTGGTCATAGTCTTTGCATGCGGCCGCGCTCCACACTGCGCGCCAGCACGGGCCCCGTGGTCACGGGACGTTCCATGCTGCTAGGCCGTTCGGGCGCACCCTGCACAGGATCGCGCGCCAAAGACTCGAGAGGCGGCTCCGGTCGACCTCGGCCTCGGATCGGGGGGAGGCCAGGGCAGTGATGAGTGCCTGGGGGGACTCGCGGCGGTCTTTTTACCACGCGGCGCGGCTTGCACATGGCACTGTAACCACACGCAAAGGCAAACCTACTATAGCATCAAAAATTTGGTTCCCTGAAGGTCAGCGACACCGAGGCCTCCCCCTGGCGATGGGCGCGGCATCGAGCCCAGTCCAGGAACAAGTGGGGGAGGGGTGGAGAAGGGGAGCGAGCAGACGAGGAGGGAGGGAGGGCTTATAAAATGGAACCGGCAGACTTGATTAGGCGGCGAGCCAGGGGTGGAAGCGAGAAGGGGCGTACCTTCTCAGAAGGCTTCGGAAGTCCCCTGGACTTCTGAGCAGTTTTCTAAGCCTTCCCCGAAGACAGAAACACACCTTCTGAGAAAGCCTTCTCCTTCTCAATTCCCCCCCTCGCTCGCCGCCGATTGATAAGCGAGCATTAGCGCCCGTACCGAAACAGCTACTTCTTCTTCGCCGGCTTCTCTTCCTTGACGGTCTTCACGAAAGGGAAGAAATCGATGCCGAGCGTGAACGGCTGCAGTGCGGCCGGCACTTTCACGCCCTGGCGGCTTGTTTCGCTGGCAGCCTGGGGAGTCTACCCTGTGGGCCCCCAATCACCCCGAACTGATCTGCAGCGAAAGATTGTGCGAGCTGGCTGCTCCAATAAGCGGCCAGGGGAAGGCCCCCCGCCCCGTGCGTACAAATAGGTCACTGAAGCCGGTGCCCCCTTTGCCCATCATTCCAAGAAGGGGCCATCCTCCTAATGCTGCTGTCGCTCCTCCTGATTACTCCCTCCTCCTCCTCCCGCTCCTCCTCATCCTTCTTCTCCTCCTCCTCCTCCTCCTCCTGCTCCTCCTCCCCCTCCTCCTCCTCCTCCTCCTCCTCCTTCTTCACTCCTCCCCCTTCTCCCCCTTCACTCCTGCATCATGCGCGCACGCAGCATGACCACTCGGCGCTGCCTGGGATGGCGAGGCACAAGGCCCGACAAAGAGCACATATCCGTGCGGCTGGCCCGCTTCGGAGAGGACCTGGGCCTTGAATGCCACAGCCCGCCTATCGTTAGGTCGGGCCTGTCTCCCTACAGAGGATTTTCGACGAAAAAGGAATAAAACAAATCAAAGAATGCACCACAAATATTCAAACATACAAAAAAACGTCCCCAGACTTTTTTGTTTAAACTATTTTTGAATCTTCCCCCTCTGTAGAAAGACAGGCCCGACTCAAGCCTATCGGCGAGGGCGCGGCGATGGAAAGGCGAGCGTTTTTTTTCAATGCTTCGCGACAACGGCCGTTCAGGGCCAGGGCCGCCTCTCCCCCTCCCACCCAGGTGTACGTCACGATTCGTGCTGACCTGCACGTCGGCTTTGGTTATTCCTGAACGTTCCCAAACGGCGCCGGCGCGCAGCGTGACGTCACCGGCCCCCCACCCTGGTAACGCCCGTCATCGCCTGGGAATATAAGAACGCTCTCCAGGCGTAAGTCGGGCCTGTCCCTCTACAGGGGGAATATTCAAAAATAGTCAAAAAATAGCCGGGGGACTATTTCTTATATTTTTGGGTGCTCTCGGCCGCCCTCGCGGCCCGCTCGGTCGACCGGACGTGGCTACGGTAGCGTGCATGAGGCTGGCATCCTCCTCCTCCTCCTCCTCCTCCTCTTCTTCCTCCTCCTCCTCGACGCTCTCGAGCAGGCGCACCGGCAGTGCAAGCGCGCGGGGTGGCGAAGCACTGCGAGCGCGGGGGCGTCGCCCGTTGTGCTGCTGGCCGAGCCGCGGCGGATATATTGTTTCCCGATGGCCACGACACTTGCATGCTGCGGGCGTGCCCTCGGCGGTGCAGGCCGCCACGAGAGCGACACGGATGCGGGCGAGTGCCCGCACGAGTGGCGCTGCGGCGGCTGCGCTTGTGGCGCGGCGCAGCCGCCACGCCTGGCTTTCGCGCGCGCCGCGAGGCCACGCCTGCGCTGTGGCGGCACGCGCTCGCCCACAGCCCTCGCTGGCTGCTCCGGGGAGCGCGGCTGGCGCGGCACCCGAGTCCGCGGTGCCTCTTGCAGCCGCAGGCGGAGTAGGCCCGCTGCGTGCGGGCAGAGGACGCGCCGCTGCTGACAGGCGACATCACCATCGCTGGCGGCGGCTCGGCCGAGCGGGCTAAGCGGCCCAGCTAGATCAGAAAGACGGGGCCTCGCTTCCTGCTCTCATCGTCTGGGGGGGGGGCCTGGACACCGACCGCGCGGAACGCCACGCCGTGGCCCGTGGCCCTGGGGCGCCAACCATCCACCTGGATATGGACCGCTACTCTGTGCTGGACAGCATCTTGGGCCGGTCGCCATGGCTTTTTGGTCGCGGCCGCAAGCGAAAGCGCAGGCGGCGTCCGAAGTCAGCCCGGGCTACGAGCGAAACCCAATTACATAGCGCACGCACTAACGGCCGCCGGGTCGGCATGGCTACGCGATGCTGCGCGATCTGGCCGGCGACCCTGCAGCACGCTTGCCCCGGGCGTGGCGCGGCGCCTCCTCGGCGCCTGGCCGGATTGCCACCTGGGCAGGTGCGCAAAAGGCTTGGGTGCGGTCCCAGCCCGAAGGCTTCGCCGCCCAGCCGAACGCCGCGGAGCAAGAGCAGCGTGAGGCGGCTTGGGCTGGACATTCTGCGCTGAATCTCCGCCACCGTGGTCCATTCGCGTCGAGGCCAATTCGAGGTGCCTTTTGTGGCGGAATACAGCAGGGTTCCGGGCGAAGTGCAAGCGGATTCTTTTTGCGGCGGAACATACAAAAGGAATCCTGTCATGGCGGATACCAGAAAAATCCATGTGTGGCGGAATACAGAGCATTCAGGTTGTTGTGGGATACGAGAGCATTTCTTTTGTGGCGGAACACGAAAGGATTCCTTATGTGACGCTCTACAGGAGGACCTCTGCTTGTAGCGCATTGCACACGGATTTCCTCTGTGGCTGGATACCAAAGCATTCCTTATGTAGCGGAATACAGATGCAACTCCCTTCCCCCCCCGAACAATGCATAGGGAGGTGCCCCAATAAAGCGAATGGTTTGCTTGAGGCCTGACATGGGAAAACTGCGTATGAGGACGGGGCGCGGGAACGGACGACATGCTTACTGAAAAAATTGATTGGGAAATCAAAAGGTACCGATACGGCTACTCCCCAGACCTCTCCCGGGGTGCGTTCTGACCAGGATTTCGAGGCGAATCTAGCGGTGGCGACGAGGAATGCCCAGGAGGCCCAAAAAGGGGAAACGGGCGGAGGGTAGAGGTATGGGTACCTTTTCCTCCTCTGAATTTATTCCCTCCCGTCCGCCTCCTCCCCCTCGACATTCTGAGCAGGACCCGTGTAGCTAACCCTTAAGCAAGACACGCGGAGAGCAGGACCGGAGTCGTCTCCTCCGGAGTCTGGTAGTTCTCGACGAGGCAGCACATGGCGCGCTCCGTGGCGCACAGCGTGCTGTTGAGCATGTGGCAGAACGGGTCGCCCTTGTTGACGCCGTACTTGGTCCCCATGGCGCGCGCCTGCGCCAACGATGTGATCTCCAAGCAAAGGCGAAGCGGCCTGCTCATGGATACGTCGGTCACCCCTTGCACCTCCACATCCCCCTCCTCCCTTCCCTTCGAGGTCACAGCTGCTTCATATGAGCACGGTGAGCCAGCTTGGACCCCAAACTGCATTTTTGCCGTATATGCGGTGCCATCCGGTGGCGCAATCATGGCGCAATCAATGTGGTGCAGTCTAGGTGGTGCAACCTATGCGGTCGCAAAGCATTGCAAGGCAAGGCGAATCAGCGCACAAGGGTGCAAAACAGTGTCAAGCAATGCCAAACAGTGCGCAGCAGCGCAGAGCAACGCAAAACAGCACAACCATTACATGCCATGCTGTGCTTTGCTGTGGCATGCGAGTGGACGAGTGCGAGTGGACGAGTACGAGTGACCGAGTGCAACTGGCGGCGACGGACGGCGGCTCGGGAGCGGCCAAGAGGGGGGTGTCCAAGAGGGGGGGGTTCAAATCATGACCGGCGGCATGTGCGCGGTCCAGCGGGGGGGGCCAGGGACGTAATGGAATAAGAAGAGGCGCCATGAGATCTGGGGAAGAATCACGGCCCCCGCCATGATATCCACACACCCCTATAGTCAATCACCCCCCTCTTTTCCGCCCCCGAGCGGCGACGGGCGGCGACGACCTGGCTGGACCTGGGGCACCGGGGCCCAGGGAGGGCGGCGGCGGACGGCAGCCGCGACGGGCGGCCACGAGCCGGCCAGACCCGCACCAAGGGGCCCGGCGTGGCGGGCGACGGGCGGCGGCAGCGACGGGCGGCAGCGAGCCGGCGGGGCTGGCACGGGAGCTCCGGTAGAGGGAAACAATTAGTGAACACCCCCCCTGCCCCCCAAACTCAAAGTTGGCACGCGGGGGGGAGAGACTGCGGTCGAGGTGCAGCTCATCAGACCCACCGCCAACCTTGAACATTGGGGGGAGGGGGAGGCGTTCACAGATGAATGTGGCATGAGTGTTCGCTATTTTTTTCCGAGGCCTGTCGGTTACCTCAGAGCGGAAGTAAGAACCCCCAGGTTTGTGGGTGCCACGACAATGGACACTCTAACAATCCTATCCTTGAATTAAAAATGAGTTTAAGATGTGTAAAACATGTGCTAAACATGTTTCAAGCATGTTATTTTAATTACATGTTCAAAACAAGTTTAACACATGTTCTTGACATCTGGAAATGATTTGGCAACATGCTTCCTCTCCACTGATCGTCCTCCACAACCTGAGGTGCAGGCGCTGCTCGGGGAAATGCTGCTCTCGTTGCTCCCCCCGATTTCTTTCGGGCCTGGCTCCCGGAGCTCCCGCGCTCTGCTCTGCCTCTCTCTCTCCACACAGGGTGCTGCTCCCGCGGTTGGCCCGGATCCGCCAGCCCGCTTGGAGGCGGGGGGCTGTGGGACGGCCCTGCTGGACAAGGGGGCAAACAAACCTACCTCGCTTTTGACCACCCTCGCTTCCAAGAGATACCAAGCGATGCCAAACTACGGCCTGTACTGGTCAGGCCGCTTGACGAGGAGGCGCGTGGTATGACTTGGTTTTGCCTGGAAGCGAAAGCGGGGTAGGTAATTCACGCTTTGATGGACAGCTCTGTCTCAGGGCTGAACCTACACGGTGCTTTTCGTTTTCGTTGTGTTTTCGATGTCGCTCGCTTTGGTCTCCGATCCGCCTCTGCTGCAAACGAAGTCGATGCGAAAACGGCCCGCGGGGAGCGAGACGAGGGAGGCGAGCTCGCTCGGCGCGGAGGGCGCTTTGCAAAAGCAAGTTGCGATCGCGGGGCTCCGAGCCTCGTCTCTGCCCGCTCGCGGCGCGATGGGCCCTGGGCGACCGACGAGCGTCTTCCTCGGGCAAGGGAGAAGGGCACTCCGCGGTCCCTGCCGCAGCTTCGGCCACTTTCCCCCTGGGTCCACCTCCCCTCGCCACCACTCAGACTACCACTGGCCATCGCTCGGACGTCCACTCCCCGTGCTCTTTTTTCGGTCTCGTGCGTGGCTTTTTTTCGCAGGATGGTCCAGGATGCTCCCTAAGAATCCCCGCCGAGAAAAAGCGCACACGCCCGAGCGATACCAAGACCAGTACTTCCCTGGAAGACCAATGGGAGGAGGAGGAGGAGGAGGAGGAGGAGGAGGAGGAGGAGGAGGAGGCAGGAGGAGCAGGAGGAGGTGGGGGAGAGGGAGGAGGAGGAGGAGGAGGAGGAGCAGGAGATGGAGGACAGAGCAGGGGGGTGCGTCCTGGTAGTCGGTGCAGTTCGAGCAGGACACCAGCTCGCGGTACCTTGGGGCGGGGGCGCAGGAGGAGGCCCCTCGCACTGCCTCCTCGCTCCTCCTCCTCCTCTCCCTCCTCCTCCTCCTCCTCCTCCTCCTCCTCCCTCCTCCCTCCTCCTCCATCTCCTCCTCCTCCTCCTCCTCTTCCTCCTCCTCCTCCTCCTCCATCTCCCCCTGAGATCCGCATGAACTAGGCCAATACTTGTACACATTGTTGTCGTCATGCTGGCTGGTGAAAAATATACCCGGGCCCTGTTCTGGCAGAACAGTCCGCTTCCAATGATTACAGCCAAGTGGCAACACGATCCAGACTCGGTGGCCAGATAGTCCAGCGGCCCTTCGGGCTTCAGGTTTCGAGCGTATTGCCAGTACGCCATGAATGTCGGGGACAACGGTGCCGAAAGCACACATGGAGGCGAGAATTACATAATCAGGCGGGCTTGCAAGCTCTCTGTGAATCCCGGAGTTTTTCCAGCAACGTGATGATTGTACGACCCCATCAAGGGTCTCTCTCTCTCTCTCTGTATGTCTATGTTATACGCATACGTACACATGACTGTCCGCACAAATGTGAATATATATATATATATATACATATATATATGCACATCTGTATATGTTTAAATGCAAGCATAAGTGTCGCCCCCCCTCTCTCTCCCACGTTCCATCTATGATTGATGATATCAAAGAAGCATAACATAAAGTTGAAAGGCAAGGCAAAAAGACAAGCCAAAGGACAGCTGCAGGCAGACCAGAAGCACACTACAAGCTGACAAGCAAACACAGATGAAGTGTAAGGCAGCCCTGATATGCGCTAACAACATGCTAAAGGCAAGCCATCTGCAGTGGACCCCGACTATCTGATTTCCAGACACCAACCCCCACGATCGCTTCCCTTCCTGCGCGGAATTGCAAAATTCAATGCCAAACGCACGTAATCCCCTGTCGGTCTCGTTCCGTAGGGCACTTAGCAAATTCAGAAACAGGGGTGCACGCCACACCACGCAACCATACAACCTCGCCTACACCACTTAGCGCAGACGAATGCTGCCGACAGCTGGTTCCAAAGGCACTAGGCCGATTGTCCAGGGTGCGCCGTTCTGCACTATACCCAAGGGTATTCAAGAGTTCTGTTCGCGGTGGCCGCGTACTCTGGGTGGGATATGCATCGAGGGGTCATCGAGGGGTGGGCGACTAACCTTCCGACGGAGCTTGCCCGACCCCCCCCTCTCCTCCTCCTCCTCCTCCTCCTCCTCCTCCTCCTCCTCCTCCTCCCCCTCCTCCTTCTCCTCCTCCTTCAAACCCTTCCTCCACCCGTTCCGACAGCACGTGCCCAACACCCCCAGCGGATCCAAGGGGGGGCGATTGTTGCCCCATCCAAAGTAAGAGTCTAAACCTTTCCCCGTTTTGTTTCGTCCGCGCACTTGCCCTTGCCCTCGTTGTCGCAGGGGAACCAGCCCTCAAGGTCGTACTTCATGGCAGCGGCGTTGTTGAGCTCACCGGACACGATGGCAACTGCGGGAAGGGTGGCCAATCGCTTCCAGCACAGTCGGGGCATTGCCCTGAGGAACCTCAGGCAAGCCGTGAAACAATTAAGGAACACCGAGTCCCTCCCCAACGAAAATGGTTCCTTCTTCACGCCACGACTGTACAGGACAAAAGGCGGCTCATACATGAAAAAGAACGGTACAACAAAACCGCAGCGCGAAGCCAACACGTGTATGAGTTGTCATCCCTGAAGTTCAAATCTCGAAGAGAAAAGAGATGGCTAATTGTGGCGGGGAAGGTCAGACGCATGAATTCCTGCCCTGGGTAACAAAGGCGAACGAGCAACGGGAAAATACGTGCGAGGCTCTCTGCGACAGAAAGTGTTATGAGCACAGCTGCATTTAGGTAAGTACATAAGCACGTGCTACAACGCGTGCGCTCGATCGGCTACGCCTACATTGATAGAACGCGACCCGCCTGTAACAAACACGCGTGAGACCATATTGCACCAAATGAAACGTCATGTACGCGTACACATTGTTCGGGAAACCGGTTGCCGTTAGAATACGCGCGAACTTACACAACTTGTCCCTGCGAGTGTGACCCATTCAAGCAAGCATGTTTTGATACTACCGCTTCATGTTTGCCAGCGTTGACCCAACACAATGGGTTATTGCATGTCCGATGTGCCATCTATGTGGTGGTTCTGGCCATGGTGCAACGACTTCTATACAAGTGGCACGTGTGCCATGGCTCTTGCACAACAAGGAAGGGGGAGGAGGAGGAGGAGGAGGAGGAGGAGGAGGAGGAGGAGGAGGAGGAGGAGGAGGAGGAGGAGGAGGAGGAGGAGGAGGAGGAGGAGGAGGAGGAGGGAGGAGGGGGGAAGAGGGGGCAAGACATCGCCCCTCGGGGCCCAGCCACGGTGCCCAAATCCCAGGTGGGGAGGGGGGGGGGGGGAGGTGGTGTGCGTTGCGACGCGGAATAAGGTGCTCGGAGCGGAGAGGGCCACGGGGCGGGGGTCCAACTTGGGCGCTGGGGGCGCGGAGAGGGGAGGGGGGGAGGTGGTGCGCGTCGCGGCGCGGCATAGAAATTGTCGGGGCGGAGGGGGCGCGGGCGGGGCCCCCCACTGGGGCGCTGGGGACGCGGGGAGGGAGGTGGGGGAGGTGGTGCGCGTCGCGACGCGGCATCAAGCCTTCGTGGCGGAGGGGGCAGTGGGCGGGGCTCCTGGGCTCCCGCTGGGGCGCTGGGGACGCGGGGGGGCTCGGGGCAGAGAGCCATGGCGCGGGGGTCCCACTCTGGCGCTGGGGACGCGGAGGGGGGGGGTGCGACGCGGAATAAAGTGGTCGGAGCTCTAGACACCCTGTGCAAGAGAGTACATATATGTGCGCGCTACGCGCGCGCCCAGCTTCTAGCCGACTGCACAGTCGTTGTCAGTAGACCTTGCGCTGATCCACGAACCTCACATACCAGTGGAGAGGTTCCCCAGGCAAGTGCCGTCCTTGGCGCATAGAGGTGCTGACCTTCTGGGGGACAGCTTCGGATTCGGCGGGCGGTCGCGGAGCCATGCGAGATCGACGGGCGACGCGTCGAGAGGCTTGGAGAGAGAGAGGAAGAGAAGGGGCGAGGGAGAGAGAGAGAGAGAGAAATTGAGTTTCCTCCTTGCTCCCCCTCCTGTCTCCTCCTGTTTCCTTGTTCCTCCTGTCTCCTCCTTCCTCGGAGGAGGAGTAGGAGGAGGGACAAGCAGCGAACACTCCGAAGCTATCTTGGTGCTTTCTTTGGCGCCGTTTTGGGTTCTCTAGGGCCTTCCTGGGGCTCCAAAGTGCGCGCGCATGCGCAAATGAGCACCCACTCGTGCGCGCAGCTTAATCATACAACCACCCCTCCTCATGGTATCGTGAACCACCCCATCCACCCCCACCTAGACTTATATTACCCGATGACCGCTACAGTCTGCAAAACAATAATTATATGAAAAATACTCTAAAAATATAGGAGGGGGGGGGGGAACGCCTATGCTGAATACTCAGAAAATAGTCTAAACATACATCATAAAACCAATGTTTTTTTCCAATCGCCCCACGCATTGTGCGAGCGATGAACCTTTTCGGGGCAGAGTGCAGCAGTAATCGTAAGAAGTGGATAAGGCCACTTCGAATGTGTTTGTGTTATTGTTCCAGGCGCTACCGAAACACCTCCCCAAACGGGTGCAATCGTGCACGGTGGGATCTTGCGCTGGAGGATTTCGGAAAACAAGAAATAGACTAAACCGATCTAGTCTTTCAAGAGGGGCCCAGAGCCCAGAGGCCCGAAGTGACAGCAAAAACACTGGCCCCACAGAGCCGAAGCCCTGACACCGTAGCGTCCGCGGGCTGCAACCCCAGAGAAAACCTGTACACCAATCCCCGATGCCCAAATCACGCTACCAGAGGCCGCAAGGAATCCCCCATTGAAATACTGGCCGCGGCTTTTCACGCCGAGGCCCGTCACCCAGTGCCCCGCGCCGAAGTGCAAATCCAGCGCGGGGCCCCAAGACCGAGGCCCTTAACGAAACACAGTGGGCTCCAAGATCCGAGTCCTGAATCGGCCGCGCCCCATACAGATCAACAGAAACCACCTGCAAGTGGCCAATCCGACGCCGAACGCCGACCCATTGCTCCAAGACCCTTGGGTGTGGGGCAGGCGGAGAAGGGCGACAGCCCACGAATACGAAGGACACACAATGGGAAGCACGGGCATGCTGTGTAACCATCAAGAACATACATATGAATAGACATTCTCGCGCACCGCACCTGATCAGGCAGACCTCAGGGGCAACGCCCCCCTTCCTCGAGACAGGGGGGCACGAACAAATCACGGATACTATTTCCCAACACTGGCGCAGGCAGTGTTACATCCACAGATCCTGTCTCACCCTTCGGCACGCGGCCCCGCGCCGCGGCCGTGCGCGACCGTGCCCCATCGTGGGCGGGCCCGTGACGCAGCGCTGGTCGCCACGCTGCGGGGGCGCGGGCCTGTCGTCGCAGGCCCTGGCACCCACAAAAGTTCAGCAGGGTCGAAGGCAAACTGATTCAGTACTCGATCACCGCATCTTGAGCGCATCCCTGTACCGCGACACCACGACGCGCGGCAGTGACTCAGGCTGGATGCCGAACTTCCTGAGCTTGGACTGGGTATTCATGCAGCTGTTGCGCATGGCTATCTTGTTACCTTGGAGCGACTCCGTGCCGAACGCCTTCAGGAGCTCTGCGCTCATGCAGAGCGCGCGGATGACCGCGATCTCCTCGGTGATGCCTGCGGTCGCCTCGGTGGAGTAGCTTGGCAGCGAGTACTCTGTCGCCTTGCCCGCCACTGTCGTCAAGGCCCCCTCGATGGTGCACGTCTGGTCGAGCCACTCGTTGACGGGCGCCTCGTGCAGACCGAGGCGGTAGAGGTCGAGCGCGGCATTGAGAGTCGTACAGTTGTCGCACTCCTTCTTGAACTCAGCGACGCCAGCCGCCTCCTCAGCGCTCTTCTTCAGGTTCGTGAAGTCCAGCCTTGTCTTCTCGCACAGGGCGCCGACGATCTTCGCCCCGACCCTCTGGACAAGGTCGCTCGCAGAGTTCACGGCGTCAGCCACCTGCAGCGAAGCGCCAACGTGAAATTTCTCAAGGGCAGTGCTGCGGGCGTTGTGGTTCGCTTTCTGGACGGCCCGAGTCAACTCCCTGGCGTGGCGCTCGACGTCGGCAGGCGTAGCATCCTGCAAACCCTCCTCCACGTGGTGCTCCGCCTGCGCGAGCGTTGTCTGGGCGCGCGCCACGCGCCAAGCAGCGCCCAGCCACGCTGCCACACCCGTTGAAGCATCCACCGATGAACACGGCACGTTCGGCGCTAAGAGCTCCAAGACTTCAAACAGGAAGCCTTCTTTCGTAGTCCAGTCGGCCCCGTCCTTGAAGAGGTCGACAATGATGGAGGTGAACAACGAGTTGCACGACTCCTGCAGCTTCTCGGGCAGGGCCTTCATGCGACAGCTGTGTAACGCATCCTTCAGACGGTGAGTCAACTCCTTATCACCATCATTCCACGTGGCCAACGCATCTGCTAACATCTCGTGCTTCACGCCGAGGTCCATGGCCGCTATCTTGGACTGGAGCGCACGAGAGCAGCGCTCCACTTGCTCGTCCGCCGCGAACACGTTGGACAAGTCCTTGAACAACTCCTTGTAAGCGATCGTCACCGCCGTCGTCTGGGCGCCGCCCTCCGTGCCGATGTCGCCGTTGCCCTATGGGGTGGGGCAATGGGCCCACCTGCGCTCCCACGTCCAACCCTATCGGTGTGCACTACTAGCTGTTAGTCAGTAGTCGCTAGTCCTAGCTACTGGTACCCCTTAGACACACCGACGGGGGTTGGACATAGGAGTGCAAGTGGGCGTATTGCACCACCCCCGAACCTCGCCATCAGAAGTGAGCGCCTTGCACTGCAAAATGGACCTGTTGAGGACCATGGCCTTGCACTCGTCAGCGCAGCCCGTGTACATGGCGGCCTCCCAGTACGGTACGTCGTCCACGATGCGCTTGAGCAGCTTGGCACGCTGCTCCGACGGGTTAGCGTCCATCCGCTCCAGCTCGGCGATGGCCGACTTCACATGGCCGCCGTTCTTCGTGACTGCATCTGCGTGCTCCGTCATCCACTTCAACTTCTTAGCCCAGAAGTCGTTGGCGCTCGTCAGGAGCGCCTGGCCCACGAGCTGATGCACGCTCTGCTGTCCAGTGGTGCGTCGGCCCTCAGCTTCCAAGCGCCCTGCGTCCACGTACACCTGCATGTCAGTGTCCGCTGTCAAGGACGTCGCCTGCATCGCTGTCAGCACTCGGATCGCCGAAGTCATCTCGAGGTAAACTGAAGCTGAGTGGTCGCCGAGCTCCGCGTCTTCGGGCAATGATGCGAGGACGAGGTCCGCTGCCTCGCAGTAGAGCTTGACGTTGTCAGCCGCGCTGGGGCCTGCCGTGAGCCACTCTGCGAGGGTGTCTGCGACGGCGATCTCCAGGAAGGTGTTCGCGACGTCGGCGTCGGACGTGCACCCATCGACCAAGCACACTGCACACGGGTTCGCCACATCCCGAGGTTTGGCGGTGAAGCCCCACGGCCGACACCGCTCCATGAAACCGACCAGCAACTGCTTCATCTTGTCCGTGTCCAGGTCGGCCTTGTTGATGTCCTGCCAAGCGTTCATGGCAGTCCTCCTGGCCAATGCCTTCACAGCCCGTTGCGTGAGCGTGGCGCCTGCTTTTCGTAGGACTTCCCATGAGGCCATCAGCTCCCCGTCTGGCACCTTCGCCACAGCCTTCTCGTCGAACAGCTTCGCCTTGTTGTAGAGCTCCAGGTGGGTCTGCAGCGTGCGGCGCTCCGTGCCCGTGAGCTTCTGGACGAGTTGTCTAGCTTGGTTCTCGGCTCTCCCATTCTTATGGCCGTTGAAGGCCCTCTCGAACGCCAGCTCCCAGACCCAGTAGTCCACTGTGCCGAGCGTGTGCGGGTTCTGCCTCTCGGGCTCGTAACTGTCGGTGGGCGCCGCGGCCGTCCTTGAAGATTTCAAAGGCTTACCACCCATGTCACGTGGCGACATTGACGGCTGCCTCTTCACTGCGCTGCCAGGCTGATGATCGATGGAGTCGGCTCTGGAGGAAGCGGCCCCAGTGCACTCAGCCGCGGCATCTGGGTCGAAGGGATGCACGCTGCTCGAGGCCGCATCCTCAAAGTCAAGCACCTCGATGTCATCGCCCCCTCCGTCGTCGTCGTCCTGCTCGCCGATCTTCGATCCAGCGCGGGTCCTCTTGGCGTTCTTCTCCGCTATCTTGTCAGCGCGGTCCCGCACCTCGGCCCACGTCGCGATGGACGAGCGCGCGCCAGGCGTGAGGTCGAGGTTGATCTCGCCACCCTGGCCCGCAGTAGTAGCACCAAACAACACGGTAGACTGGTTCTCGAACAGCTCTTGGGCATCTCGCTTGAGGAAGCCGACGCTGGCCACGGTGCTACTGCGGTGGTACAGCTTGAATGTTGGATACTTGCCTCTCGACTCGGGGCAGGCCTTCACCAAGTAGACAGTAAACGAGGTCGGCCGAGATGGAATCTCAACTGGTTTGATGTGTAGTGCTTTTGCCGTTCTCCCGAACTCCCGCTCCACGTCTTTGGCCGTCAGCGCAGCGCACTTCACGTAGAGCTCGAAGCCGCAGTCGACGGAGTCGCCTAGGTTGAGCGTCCTGGGAGGCGTCCTCGTTGGTTGCTTCTGAGCTGGCGTCTCACCCTGCTGACATAAATCCCGCAACTGCCCTGCCTCTTGAGCTGCGACCAACCCTGACCAGGACAGCACAGGTGCGTTCTCCAGGAGCCACGTCAGGCACTCGACGCAAGCCACCTCCCCCTCCTCCAGGTGCGCGGCCAGCTCACAGCCGTTCTGGACAATCCCTGTGTCCTAGGTGAAAAACAACACGACAACCCTCTGAACCCGAACGCCTCTATCGTTCACCCCGCTCGGAGCCTCAAAGCGGGGCCGTTTCAAACTCATGCCCAAAAGCGGTGCGCCTAGGATTACAAAGAGCATTCGGCCCTTGAAACCCCGAACGCCTCACCGCAACATTGTTCGGACCACGACAGACGCAGCCAACGGGGGGCCAGCGGTCCAGGGTGCCAGGACACAGGGACACGGATGAGAAGTGTGTAGTGCTTGTTGGCCCTCAGTCCCTGTCGGTGCGCTGGCACAGATCGCAAGTGCTGACCGCGCCGCTGCCTCTCCCGCGGCCCTGCCGCGACCTGCCGCGGCCGCCTCTCGCAGCGCCGCGGCCGGCGGTCGAGGGCCCTCGGGCCGGCGCCTGGGACTTGCGCCCCGTGGCCATGGGCTGCTGTGAAGGCGTCGAAAAAAAAGAGCATCTTTCCCTTGATACAGTGCAGCAGCGAATGCAAAAGTAAGACGAACAAGTACCCGTCATGGCAGCCACTTGGAGCGATTATGACCAGACCATGTGCGGGGGTCACTCGGGGCCCAATCTCGGGGGTCACTCGGGGCCCTAGTCTCCAATAATATTCGTCTACGTGCGGTGCGACTGCGACGCTACTCTCGAGTGCCCTGCTGCCTCGGGACTCGCGGGGCCCACCAGCGTGCGGGCAACGAGCGCCACAGCAAAGGCCAGGAGAGCGCTTCCGACTAGATGACTAGATGCTAGACAGACCTAGTTACACCCAATTACAACCAGCTTCACCCAGCTACACACAGTTACACTCAGTTGCACACAGTAGCAACGCATAGTTGCACCCAGTTTCACCCAGTTGCACACTGCTCCGCCCAGTTACACCCAGTTACACATAGTTACAAGTTACACCCAGTTACACCTAGTCCCTAGTCCCTAGTCGCACGCAGTTCAGCCGATATTCGCCGAACTGCCGCACGTTTGAGTCTGATCCTACCAACGCGCTTCGCACAAATACGCCATGCTGCCATTAACCTGAATGGGGTTGCAGGCGCACCTCACCGTGGAAAACTCTCAAACGGGAAATTCTGTACAAAACAAGCTTGTTGTACAGAATTTCCATCTGGCCTCTGTCGTACCGCAAAGAGCGAGACGTCGATCGTCTACCTTCGTCAATACCCCAGTTCGAGATGACGATGGCGACGATGGCGACGGCGATGACGATGATGCTGGCCGTGGCGACGATGGCGACGATGGCGACGGCAGTGATGGTGATGGTGGTGGCGATGGCGAGGGCGATGGTGGTGGTGACGGCGACGACGATGATGATGGTCATGGTGGTGATGATAATGATGATGCTGATGCTAACGAGGATGACGATGACGATGCCGACGACGGTGCTGACGACGACGGTGGCGGCGATGCCGATGGTAATGATGATGGTGTTGGTGACGACTACGACGATGATGGCACGGAAGGCTGCGACGACGGCGATGATGCAGATGATGATGACGAGCATGACTTTGAGCTTGGCGATGGAGACGGCGATCCTGACGATGACGACGACGATGCTAACAGCGATGGCGGCGGCTAGGGGCTAGGACGATGACGACGACGACTAAGATGACGCGGTGATGGGGAGGAGGGAAGTGATGACGATGACGAGGCAAAGGACGAATTGGCAAGACGACGATGACGACGCCGATGGTTAAGATGATAATGGTGATGATACGGATGATGATGGTGATGATGGCGATGGCGACGTTGACGATTGCGACGACGATGATAGCGACAACGGCGGCGACGACAATCACGATGACGTCGACGATGACACGGGGGAAATGCTTGGCAAACTTAGTGTTGCATCACATGTCCCCTTTCGGGTTTCCCACGGGGCGCGGCGCCTGCAGTCCCGCCCACGTGACCGCAGCATGACGACCGTGACAATTCGACAGGAAGACGATGACGACGACGATGGCGGTGCTGATGCTGGTGGTGATGACAATGGCGACAGCGACAATGATGATGGCGGTGCTGGCGATGATGGCGATGATGGAGGCAAAGATGATGACGATGATCGGGGCGCCAATGACGACGGTGACGACGCCGACGATGACGACAACGACGTCGGGGCACCTAAGCTCGCATTGTCCCTCTACTGGGCCTCTCTTGGGCGCCTTTTGGTGGCCTTGCGGGGGCGCAGTGGAGGTTCGCTGGGCTCTGCCTAGCTCGGGCGTCGGATGTCCTGGAGACGACGCGGGGCGTCTGGGGCTTCATTGCAGGTGCCCTTTCAGCGCCTAGTTAACATAAGAGGCTGCCCCCGCGCGCACTGGGCGGGCCGCTCGGGAGGCGGAGGTTGGAGGGGCACGGGAGGGGAGGGGGCGAGGAGGATGGGCAGGAGTAGGAGGAAGACGACGGCGGCGAAGGTGGCGAGCTGGTCGGACGACGATGGCAACGACGACGGTGGCTATGATGATGCGCATGGATGGTCCATGTGATAGTGATTGTGGTGGTTGCGTTGATGGTGACGACGGTGGCAACTGCGTTAATGATGATGATGATGCAGAGGAGGAGGAGGCGGATGGCCATGACTGCGACGGCGGCGGCGACGCTGACGATTGCGACTACAACGACGAGAACGATGATGGCGACGGAAAGAACGGCGACGACGAGCACGGCGCCGATGACGACGACGACGATGACGAGGCTTGTGACGACGATGGCGAGAGTGAAGTCATGAGGAGGAGGAGGAGGAGGGCGACTATGACGATGACGACGCAGATGACGAGGCTGTAGGACGTCGACGACCACGCCGATGGCGATGATTATGATGATGCAGATGATGGCAATGGCTGTGACGGTTGTTGTGCTGATGAAGATGACGCTGGCGATGCCGACGGCGATGCCGACGAGGACGGTGGCGATCGCAATCGCGATTATGTTGGCGATAGGGGCCATGGCTGTGCCGACGAGGATGCGGTGGTGATTCGGGGGAAGACGGCGGCGAAGCTACTGACGACGCAAGTGGCGAGTTGGCAGAATGCCGATGGCGACGACGTCGATGGCGGGGGCGATGCCGACGACGATGTTGGTGACGACGGCGGGGACGACGACGACGACGGCGCCGAACCTTTGGAGGCGTCGCTTTCAAGGGCGTTGAGCGCGACACCTCGCAGGGCCCTCTCGGGGCCCCCATTGGACACCCTCTGTGCCTTTTCATTTAATATGCCACAGATGGGCGAGCACCAAGGGGCCCCCAAGGGGGCGCAAGGGGGGCTAGATTACACCGCTGGCTTGAAATAACAAGGCTCATGTCTATATGTTGTGCCTCTCTGGGGAGGAGGAGGGGGGGGCGTTCTGGTGAGCTCGTGGGCCCTCTCGGGGCAATCTTTTAGTTATCCAGGTGCCCTTCGGAGGCCCTCTCGCCCCCCCCCCCCCGAGGCTTCGGGAAGGCTTGGGGCGACCCCTTGGCGATTCAATTTCACTGGCGTTCAACGCGGCACCTCGAATGGCACCCTGGGCACCCTCGCAAGGCCGTCTCGGAGCTCTCCTGTGGCCCTTCGAGAGCCCCCATCGGGCTCCTTTCGGTGATCCGCGCGGGCTTCGTACGATCCCTTAGGGGGGCGATGCGTTCACGGGCGTTGAACGCGACACCTCGGCATGCCCTCTTGGAACCTTCTCGGTGCTGCCGCGGCGCGTTCTCGGCGTTCTTTGGTGCCCTCGCTGGGGTCCTCCATGGGCTCATGGGAGTGCTTCCAGCGATCCGTTAGAAGTCTCATTGCGCGGGCGTTTGAAGTGACACCTCGGATGCCCCTCGCGGGGCCCTCTCGGGGCTTACCCATGCTCTTTCGAAGCCCTCGCGCTGCGTTGTTTCCCGTTTTTGCGATGGGCCCGCTGCTGCCTTGGGGTGGGCCCAAGGCGAGCAAACCTACGCAGCTGGTTTAGCACAGCTCATCATGGCTCCTGCTGCGCGTTCTCGGTGGCCTCTTGGGGCATTAGTGGGCGCTGTCGGGGCGGCCTGCTGACTGCCTCGGGCCCTCTCTGCGCCCCGATCGGGCTCCGACCGTTTTTTTTTGTCGGGCGGGCTTCGGGCGACCCCGCTGCGGCGCCACTTTCACGGGCGTCGACAGTGACGCCTCGAAGGGCCTTCTCGGCACCCCCCTGGGCGCGGTCTTGGGGCTTTCTCTGGAGCTCAAGGGGTCGAAAACCTCGCCGTCGATTGGTTTCCAGGCGCGCGCCCTGACGGACTGCGCCCGCCTGCGCTTGCATGTTCGCCATAATTCGTGCGACCCGAGCTGTTCGGTGGGGCTGCGCCAAACCACATGGATGGCAACATGCGCTGCTGGGGGCGCTCGCACAGGCGACCCCGAGTGGAGGATGGAGCGGGCGCGGAGAAGGAGGAGAGAGAGGGCTGCCATCTTCTCTGCCATTGGGCACCACGCCCAGCGGCGCTGAGCGGCGCTGCATGGCGCACGCCACCAACGCGACTCCTTCAACGCGCGCTTCCAACCCGCGGCGGCGCTCGTTTGGGTTACATTGGGCGACATTGGCGGCGCCATTGGCTTCAAATGCGCGGCGGATGTCCGCTCCAACTGCTGATGATGCAGGGAAGTCGCGGGTGCGCGCTTGGTGGCTTTGCGATTCCCGTTGTTGCCTCGCTCGGGTCAAGGCGCGCCATGTTGTCTCATGTTGGTGGCCGTCTTGAGCTACCGATACCATCTGAAATCCGATTGGGCTCTTCCTGGTGCTTCGGGGTGGCTTCAAGCGGCCCCTCGGAGACGTCGCTTTCGCTGGCGTCGAACGCGACGCCCCGAAATAGCCGTCTCGCGACCCTCTTGGCGCCGCCCTGGGGCTTGCATGGGGCCCCTTTCGGCGCCCCCTTGGGCCCCTATGAAGGCTTCGGGAAGGGGGGGTGGTCCAACGACCCATCGAATGCGTCGCTTTCACGGGCGTCGGGCGCGGCTCCTTGGAGGCTCCTTCTGGTGCCCTCTCGGAGCACCCTTTCGGGCCCTCTCTGGGCTATCGCAGTGATTTCACGCCCCCAAGAGGGCCCATGGTGGCTCGGGGGGGGGGGGGGGGCTGCGTTGAACAGCTGGTTGCGCGTGGCTCCTCGTAGCTCCGTTTGGCTTCCCTGGGGGTCTCTCAGGGTCCTGTCGGGCCCTCTCGGGGCAAACTGGCGGCTGTCCTGGGGCCCGCTCGGGGCCCTCTTGTGCTCCTTCTGGTGCTTCGGGGCGCCTTCGAGCGGCGCCATTTTCACTGGCGTTGAAAAGGGCCCCTCGGGTGGCCTTTTCGGCGTCCTCTGGGCGCCATATTGGGGCTTTCTTAGGGCCCGAGAGAGCCATGACCTCGCTGTCGATTGTTTCCCAGGCGCGCGATCAAACGGACTGCGCCCGTCTGCAACGCGGGGCCACCATCATCCTTGCGACCCGAGCTCTTCGGAAGGGCTGCGTTAGAAACAAGGTCGGCAGCAGGAACCCCGAGTGGGATGGGGGCGCGGGAAAGACGAGGAGGGGGATGACGAGGCGCAGGATGAGGGGATGAGGAGGGGGCGGATGAGGGGGAGGGCGAGGGCCGCCCTCCCCCCTGCTACTGGGCATCGCGCCTGGCGGCGCTTACGGGCGCTCTCTGACGCAGGCTAGCGGCGCAACTTCTCCAAATCCTGTTTTCAACGCGCGGCGGTGTTGACACGGGCTGCGCTGGGCTTTCTTGGAAGCAGCGATGCGTTCAAATGCGCGACGCACTGGCCCCCCCCAACTGCTAGTTCTGCAGGGAAAAATGTCGTTTGCTTGGTGGCGCCGAGGCTCGCGTTATTTCTCGCTCGGGCTATGTCGCGCCATGCTGTGGCATGTTGGAGTCGGCCCTAGGCGATCGATGACACCTTGAGGTTCTATGTGGGCTCCTCCTGGGGCTTCGGGGCGGCTTTAAGCGACCTCTCGGGAGTTGTCGCTATCTCGGGCATCGAACGCGGCATTTCGCAGGGTCCGCACGGGGCCGTGTCGGTGCTTTCTCAGTGCCCTTGCGGGGCCGTCCTGGGTGCATTTTAAGGTGTCGGGGCGAGCGGCGGGGGGCGCGGCGCGCGCGCGTGGCGGCATGGGGGGAGGGGGGGGGGGGGGCAAACGACAGCGCGGGGATGTCACTTTCACTGGCGTTGGACGCTGCACCTCGAATGCCTTTCTGGGCGCCCCCATCGGGGCACCGTCGGGCCACCGCGCGGCCCCCATCGGTGCCATTCGGGCCCCGAGAAGGCTTGGTGGGGCAGCCAAGGAGGGCCATGGGCTATATATGCTATATCAAACTGTAGGTTTCATACAGCTCATAGGTCAGCATGGCCACGTTCGGGCTTCTCTTGTCCCCTCGGGGCCGTCTGGCGCCCTCTCGGGGCACTTGTTTGGCTATGCTGGGGCCCGCTGGGCGCCGTCTTGGGCTCCTTCTGAAGACCTCTGGGGGGCTTCGAGCGACCTCCTGGAGTCGCCATTTTCACGGGCGCCGAACGCGGCACCTGGAAGAGCCATCTTGGGACACTCGCTGCGCCCTCCTGATGCGTTCCTGGAGCCTTGCGGGGCCCTCTTGGGCTCAGTGTTATACTTCGGGCTGGCTTCAATCGACACCTTGGGTGGTGCCACTTTCACTGGCGGCGGCAGCGGCGCCTCCAAAGCCCCTCCTGGCCCCCCCTCGCGCCTTCTTCGGCCCTCTCGGGGCGCTCGCTGTGCGCCAGCTGCGCGACGCGGGCTGCGGGGCCGCGCGGGCAGCCAGGGCTAGGGTCGGCGCCGCGGCCTCGGCGCAGCCCATGCGCCCCGCCCCCCCCCCCCCCCTTTCTCAGCTGGGGCACGGGTCGGGCGGGGTCTGCGGGCAGCGCTAGGGCCGCCACCTGGCGGCGCCAGCTGTCTGGCGCTGCCGCGATATGTCGGGAGAGGAAGGCGCCTCCGCGCGCGCGCGGCGGCGGCGCGATGGAGAGGGGGTGGAAGGGGGGAAGAGGGGGGGGGGGAGGGGGGGGGCGCGTCCGACGACGTTCCATGGGCGCGCATGAGCGGGCTGCTTTGCAAGGGCGCCCGCGGGCGGACGGCCCTGCGAATCGTCGCATTGGAGCGCGAGCGAGACCCCGCGAGGCCCGAGAAATTGCCGTGGACCCGCCCGCCCACCGCCCCCAATCTGCAGCCGCGCCGACCTCCTGCCCGCGGCGTCCATCTTCTCGCGCGCCAGTGGCCCACCTGCGCGCGCCACCTCGGTCCTGCTGCTGGCCGCTGGCTGCTGGCGGCCCGTCTCGGCAGCCCCCCAAGCCGAGCGCCATCTGCCCCCCCCCCCCCCCCCCGCGCTGGCGCCGCTGTGTACCTCCTACCTCTTTATATATAATGACTCATGACCGACGGAGAGCGGATGGCGATCCGACGAGGGCCATACGGCGATGACGTGCATGAGCTGGCCTGCGCATATCTGTTGAAATCAAGCGTAAAGCTGCCCATCTCTCGTTTGTGAGCGGTTCGTTTGGTTGTGGCAGCGCCCTGAAGGAGCGCCGCAATGTTAGTTGTTTGTCTGCCAGTGTATTTTTTTGATATTTTTTGACCTTTTTTTGACCTTTTTGGGGGTATTTTTTGACAATGGTTTGGGCATTATTTGGGTATTTTTTGACAATGTTTTGGGTATTTATTTAGTATTTGCTGACCCGTGTTGATGACGTAAACAACACCAACAATATATATTGCCAATGGATGACCATTGATATGTGCATGATATTCGTTGGTGTTGTTCTAATGTAACGATAGATGCGTGTCACGCAGCGGACCTTGACCACGCCATTTCCCAATAATGTGTTGGGCACAACCGTGGCCGTCACCATCGACTGTGGTTGTGAGAGACCACCGTCTGGTCATTCACGCGTGAACGGGATAAGTCGAAAATGGTGGTTGCACCATTTGCGGTCGACGGGCAACGATTGCAAATGGTCCGGACATTTCGCACGACCATTTTTTGACAATTTTAAATGTATTTTAAAGGTATTAAGATTATCAAAAAAACATAAAAAAATAGTCTGATAAAAACGCGGAAAATCGGAAAAGGTCCGGACACCTATCACGATCATCGCAGCTTGCTTCAGGATAGTCCTAAACACCAAGTTTGACGGTGGAGACCCTATGCCAAACAAACCTAGCACTTCGCCTGCTAGAGCCCCAGAAAGGCCCGCGAGGCTCGGTAGTCAAGCACATTGCGCCCCCAGGTGGTCGGCATACGGTCACAAATGCCAGGAAGGCGCCTGGACTCAAAAGGCCCGCGGGCCCCGACCCCTGTAGGGCAGTCGTGGGGTGGAACATTGAATGACTTGTGTTTCACCAACGGGCGCCCCGCTAACCCTTGAATGCAATGCAACCTTAGTGCTGATTACGTTGTGAACCCTTGGAGCTTGTGGGCGCTGTTAACCGTTAGCCCCGTTGCGTTTCCTGTGAGTCGTTACGGGTCGTATTCGCATTTTAAGCTATAGTTGGCAACCTTGTGTACACGTTGTCGTCCTACGTTATTACGTGCATTCCGAATGTCCTACTGTCTTGGTGTCTTGGTGTCCTAGTGCCCTGGTGTCCTAGTGGTCCCAGTGTTCGTCCTAGTGTCCTAGTGTCCTAGTGCCCTAGTGTCTAGCGCCCTACTGTCCTTGTGTCCTAATGCACTGGCCACAGGGCCACGGCCACGCAAACGGGAGGATCTTTCATTCGAGCCATCTGACTCCTCGGTTGGCCTCTGCATCCACTCTGCCTCCCCCCTCCCGCCCTCCACATGTCCCTTCTTGGCCCCCAACCCCGTGCCTGGGAAAGAAAAACAACGCCTCAATGTTTCATGGCTCGCCACACGGTGCAGCACGAGCTGTTTGCGAGGCCCCTCGCTCCTGCCACGCCCAAACGGCGCGGGAATATGGATGGGTGAAACGCACGAGCATATCACTGCAACTCAATCAAAACATAAGCATTAATCAAAACATAAACACATAAACAAAGCATCCGAAAATCATATCAAATCGGGCTGTTGGGCTCCTCGCCCTCCTCGCCCCGATCAGGGCGAATATCGCGCTCGCACCTGCATAACTCTCTGCCGACCTCTGAACCAGTGACGATGGTCCTGGCAGCAATTCGGTCGGCCCTCGCTGGCTTGAACTTACTGTGCTTCCCTTTCGGCGTGCCATCTCCCCAACCAGGCTCGGCGCCCGCAGCCAGCCAGGCGGCCATGTAGCCGACAGGGCGGCCTTGGCCTGGGTTGGTGAACAACCTGGCACCGACGGGATCAGTGGCCGACCGAGTGACGCGGCAGCCTGGGTGGTGCCTACACACAGACTCGAAAAAACCTTGCCGACCCGCACAACGCCACAATCTTAGTGGCGCCCCAGGCGCAATGCTGGAAGTATATTGGCCCTGTGAATATGATCATTTAGTCAACTTGCAGATATGTGCTAGCATGTGGGCACGTAACCATTAGGAGACCTGGTGCTAGTGTGCAAGCCTGTCCGTGTATGCATTCGTGTACAAGCCGTGCGTAGATATGCGACCGAGTTGCAATTCGGGGCTACATGCTACCTAGACCCTAGACACGGTACACTTGAATACCCAGCATAACCCAGTGAGAACACCCAATTGTAACTTGGAAACGCCACGAATCAACTACAACATGAGAGCGCAGCTCAAAGCTTAGAGCTTGGAACGCATGCCGCGAAACTATGACGCACAAAAATGTTACAACCATGATCGGCGACAGCCTGCAAATAAAAAGTAATCTTACCGTGGTGGGCGTGGTGATACACGACAGTCGCTGGCAGTCTCTCGCCATCGCCCCTCGGCGCTGGCGCAGCGGGCAATGGGCCTGGCAGCGCTGGAGGGGGCTCGGCGATGCCAGCGGCAGGCGGGGCGCAAAGAGGCGCGGCAGAGCTTGCTGCATCAGGGTCTGGCACATCTGGCCCAGGAGGGCCCGCCCCTCCTGGCGCTGCTGCGTCGCTCTCGGGTTGGCTCGCCGACCCCAGGCCCATGGGGTCCAGCAGGGGACCGCTGCCCCCCCCGAATTGGGGAGGCACCCTGTACCTCGGGATGCATTGATGATGTTGTGGTGTCTTGGTGTAGTGATTGGTTTGCACGTGCTGTGTCATTGCTGTTGCTGTGTCTTGGTGATGCGATGTTGCGTTTGTTGTGCGTCGGCATCGTGGTAGCGTTGTCGCTGGTGGTTCGGGTGCGAATGCTGGCAATGTGGGCGTTACCTTGGCTAGAAACGCAATTCCACGATGGTTTCTGCGCGCGGGTGCGCTCGCGGGGGCGCTGGGCATTGGGCAGGCAGATTGCTGCCGACAGACGCATGGATGGGATCTCCCCGCCATCCTCGTGGAAATCATCGCCCTCCCACGAGCTCACCGAGGACGCGTCCGAGTCCTTTGGAGCGCAGGAGGGGGGGCAAAGGCAGCGGGGGAGGCGACCCGCGCACGGCCTTCGATTGCATCGCGGCGAAGGGAGGGGGGGAGTGGGGGGAGAGGGCGAGGGGGGGGCGGGCGAGGGGAGTGGTCAGGAAAAGGGTGAAAGGAGGAAGCAGGGAGGGAAGGGCAGAGGCGAGGGAAAGCAGGTGCGAGGGGGAGGGGAGGGAAAGGTGCTATGCGCTATGCTATGGCACGAAGGCGATGCAATCGCAAACCCGCCTTGCGCAAACGGGCGCCTCCTGGGCGGGCGTTCCGGGCACGCCAACGCACGGCCGACCTTTGAAACCGTAAGCTTGGTCAACCCAAGAGGCCCCAAGTCCCAAGACGCGTGCAAACACTGTTTGAGGGCATATGTTGTGCAGTTGGAACACGCGCACGCTCGCGTGGGAGTGGGACTATATGTGGTTACACACCGAATTCTCTCATGCGCGCTATGTATTACCAGGGCGGCATCTCAAGAGCTCGGACCAATAAACTTAGAACTCATTGCATAAGACATAAGATCGAACTTATCACCACGACCCGATGCATTACGTCACACACCCCCCAATCCTCAACCCCAGACCCCAGACAGCTCCTGCGATGAACGATGAGAGCCGCCACTCGGCGCATCGGGCCCCTGAGGCCCCTCGACGGCGTCGGCGGAGTCGGGGCTGTCTGGGCCGAACAACTCCCACTCCTCGTCTGAGTTCATCTCTCGATACGGTGGCCTGCCGCTGGCCGAAGACGCACCTGAACTCGACGAGAGCGCCTCGTCGCGGTCGTCCTCGGCGTCGGGCCCCGCGTCGGCAATGGGGACGGGGCCCAGCGAGTCCTCGAAGGGGCCCTCGTCGCCGTTGCCAGGAGCAGCGCGGTGGGCCTGGGCCGCTGCGCCACGGCCTCGCCCGCGGCCACGGCCGCCGCGCCCGCGGCCCTCTCCTCGACCGCGAACGCGTCCGCGGCCAGCGCCGCGCCCTCGCGGCCGCGGCCGCGCGGGCCACACCTGAACACCAGCAGCGGGCGAGGCAAAGGGCCGCACCAACACCACGCCTGGCTGGAACTGAGGCACAGGGCGAGAATGCGACTGGATCTCCATGAAAGAAACATCCCACCGCAGATTCGTCTCGAATGTGTCGGCCGCGCGGCACAGGTTGCGCCACTCGCCAACAGCCTGCTCTGGGACAGGGCAAACACGATTGGACCCACATCACAGGCGCACACGTGCTCTGTCTATCGCCTATATGTCTACACGCCTACACAGTGTACTAGTTACTAGTAGGCAGCTAAGCGCGCGTGCGTTGTAACGATTGTTATGGTGCATTGTGGTACACGTCCAAACGTTAGTGGTAAAGTCGTGCGCATGCTGTGTATGCACGGACGCGTGGTGCGTTGTAGTGGTGGTGCGCAGTATCCATATGCTCGAGCGTGCGATCTGCCCAGGCACCAATTAGCACATTGATCACTTAGAATGCCGAAAGGCTGGGGGCCAAATCTTATAGAAACTACGGGGGCTGTTTGAGAGCAGACCTGCTTTAAACCACACTGCCTTCAAAGCGATCTCGGCTGCGCTCGCGGCAGCGCCCGTTGACTCAGTCTCGGTGGCAAGCTCCATCAGTTGCATCTCAGGCTCGAAGGGCGACAGCGACATGAAACTAACATGCCAGAATCTGGAATCATATGCCAAGCCCCAAAATTCAGCGAGCTCGCCCTCGGACTCTGCGCCGCCGAGCAAGGAACAATCGAATCTAGCAACGACGAGGCCGTCCTGGAGGACGCATTGGCGGCATGGGACTCTTTGGTGGGTTGGCCAATGCACGACTATTACATGGTAGGTCGTGCGGTGGTGCGGCGCAGCACAACAATTACACCTAGTTATACTTAGTTGCACTGACACACGTCCAGTTAAGCCTAGTTGCACGCAGCCCCCAAACATGCACCACACTGCCGCACGTTCGAAGTTGATATGCCCAGCAGGTTTCGGACATGCGCCGCGCTGCAATCGATCCGAGCGGGGCTGTAGCCCCCCCCCGTGGAAAACCCGAAATGGCGAAATCCTGTACAACATAATTCTCGTGTACAGAATTCCCCCCCCATGGCCCTTGTCGTGACACAAGATGTGAGACGTCGATGCTACGGCGGTGGCGACGACGATGGCGACGATGGCGGCGGCGATGGCGTTGATGCTGGCGGTGGCGACGACGGCGACGATGGCGACGGCGGTGACGGTGACGGGGATGGTGACGGTGATAGTGATGGCGCGGGATATGGCGATGGCGGTGACGACGGCGACGACGATGATGATGATGCCCATGAGGATGACGATTGTGATGGCGATGCCGACAACGGTGCTGGCGACGACGGCGGCGGCAATGTCGATGAGCATGGTGATGATGGCGGCTGCGACTACGACGACGATGACAAGAACGATTGCGGCCACGACGATAATGCCGATGATGATGCCGAGGGCGATGGCGATGTTGATGGTGGAGGCGGCGGTTCGGATCATGATGACGATGACGATACTGACGACGATGGCGACGGGGCTAGGACGATGTCGATGATGACGAAGGTGCCGTGATCATGAGGGACAGGAGGGTGATGCTGACGATGGCGACACCAATGACGAGTTGACAGGACGACGGTGGCGACGAGGCCGATGGCGATGAAGATGAGGGTTATGCTGATGACGATGATAAGGCCGATGGCGACGATAGCGAAGATGGCGACGGTGGTGATCATAATGACGATACTGATGGTACTGAAGACAATTGCGGCGACAATGGCTAACCACGACGACGGGGACGATCATGGCGATGATGGTGATGGTGACGCTGGCGAGTATGACGATGATGAGAACGACGATAACGACGACTCCAATCACGATGCCGGTGACGATGGCACGGAGGATATTATGTACACCGAGTTAGTTTGGTACTACATGTCCTCTTCTAAAGTTTACCACGGGGCACGAAACCTGCAGTCCCATACAGGCAACCGCCACATGGCGACGGCGGCGGTTCGGCAGGAAGGCGATGACGACGACGATAGCAATTGTGATACATATGTTGGTGATGATGGTGGTGGCAGTGACGATGGCACAACATTGATGACGGTTTTGGCAATGACTGCGATGACGACGATACCGATGATGACTACGGTGGGGGCGTCAAGAAGGACGGTGGCGATGCCGACGATGACAACGGTGGCGTCGGCAACGCCTCAGTTGGCAATGCCCCTCGCTTGAGCCTCTCTCGGGCTCTGTTCGGTGACCTTACGGGTGCATCTTGGGGGCCCGTTGAGCTCGACGCGGCTCGGTTTACGGACGCCTTGGATGCGCTTCGGGCAGCCTCCCATATTGAGCAGGCGCATGCGAAGCGCCTGGCCGATATGAGAGGGTGCCATCGCACGCCTTGGGAGGGCAGTTCGGGAGAAGTGGGTTGGAGGGGCACGGGTGGGGGAGAGACAGGAGGATGAGCAGGAGGAAGAGCAGGGGTGGGGGGGGGGGCGGCGACGGCGACGAAGATGGCGAGTTGGCCTGGCGACGGCGACAGCGACGACGATGGCAGTGGTGATGCCCATGATGATAGCCCGTATACTAGCGATTGCGTTTGTGACGCTGACGGCGACGATGGCGATGGCGACCATAATAATGATGACGATGGTCAGGGCCGCGACGGTGACGGCGATGATGGCTGCAACAATGACGATTAGGGCGATGTTGGCTATGGCGAGGGTGGCGATGACGAGAGTGATGCCGATGACGGCGCCGACGAAAATGACGGGGACAGTGGCGATGATGACGACGGTGGCGTGATGGGGAGCAGGATGAGGATGGGCGACGACGGCGGCGACGCAGATGACGAGTTGGCAGGGCGTCGGCGACGACGGCGATGACGGCGCCGATGGCGATGCTGATGATGTTGATGCTGATAGCGGTGGTGGAGATTTTGGTGACGATGCCAACGACGATGCTGGCGATGACGATGGCGATCGCAATAGCGATGATGACGGCGATGGCGACGAAGGCCGCGGCGGCGATGGCGAAGATGAAGAAGTGCTGCGGGGGGGTGGAGGGCGGGCGACGATGGTGATGGCGACGCAATTGGCGACCTGGCAGGACGTCGGCGGCCACGACGTCGATGGCAGCGACGATGCCGACGACGATGCTGACGACGGTGGCGATCACAATAATGATGATGATGGTGACCGTGGCGACTATGACGATGGTGGTGGCAACGATAACGACGATGCTGACGATCACGATGGCGATGACGATGGCACATGGTAAACTATGTACAAAGAGCAATGATATACATAATTCCCTTGCTGGGCATTTCCACGGCGCGGGCGCGTGGGTGCCCGCAGCCCCATTCAGACGATTGTACCGTGACGGCGACAGTGGCGGTTCGGCAGCAATGCAATGACGCCGATGATAGCGATGATGAGGTTGATGGTCATGATGGTGATGATGACAGCGCGGGTAAGGACGAGGGTGATGATGATGCTGGTAATGATGTCGATGTTGGTATCATCTGCTTCCCCACATATCATTGCACCAACGGCCGCAGGCAAGTATGGGGAGGAGGAAGAATGAGGCGATATAGCCGAAGAAAGATGGGCACTTGCGGGCGAAGGAAGGCGTTGATAGTGAGGTGCCCGCTGCTACATTCAGGTTCCCCACCAGTTGCTTGCATCTGGAAACGCGTGTGGTTGAGAGAAGCGAGGTGTGATAACGAAACGCTCAACGCAGGTGGCGTAAACGGAATGTAAGTGGGGGGATCTGAATATACTTGGGGGGAGTTGAATGGAACTGGGGGCACTGAGTATATCTGAGTGTAACTGCGAGGGACTGAATGTATTTGGGTGAGGCTTAGCATAACTGAAGGTAACTTGTAACTGCATGTAGCTGAGGGTAACTGGACGCAGAGGGCATACGCAGCCCGACGCCGCGTGCGGCCATAATGCAACTGTCGTGAAACGTACTCCCCCTCCTCCTCCTCATGATCCTGCCCCTGCAGCTGCACCTCCTCCTCCCCGTCCTGCCCGCGCTGCTGATGATGTTCCTCCTGCTCCTCCTCCTCCCCCTCCTCCTCCTCCCCCTCTTCCTCCTCCCACACTCAGAAAGCGAGAGTTCTGGACGAGTGAAGTTCTGCCCACGCTGCGCGGCCAGAACTTTACTCAGCACATCCTCCTGTGTTTGCCCCTGCCCCTGCCCCTGAACTCTCTCGCCCTCCCCTTTTCTCTGCCTCCCCCCTCCTCCTCCTGATTGCGCGTGCGCGTGCAGTGCCAAACCGGTGCATGTACAGTTTCGCCCACGTGTTGTACCTCAGTCTAGTTCCAACTGGCGTTGCACACAGTGGCCATGACGATACCAATAGTAGCATCAAGGACGCTACTATTGGCATCGATATGGCCACTGTTCCTGGCGGGGTGATGTGGCCCACGCCCCACGCGCACCGTCGACCGATGTTGATACAGTCGTGTAATGGGGGGTCGGCGGATCACGCAAGTCGCCCGTGCAACATCGACCTACCATAGAAATCATCTCTGTTGCTTTCAGCCAACCCACAAAGATACCCAATTTGCCAAGACCCCCCGTCACCTTCAACAACTTGCGCCTCGACGCATGCTCTGCCTGCCGCGGGAACGCGGTGCGGAGAGCGAGCAACATAGAGTTCCGCAGCTCCCACACGATGTCGCCCCTAGGGCCACAGAGACAGATGCCGTAGCCCCAGCATTCGCCGTGGTAGAACTCCCCGTCGTCCGAGGACTCGTACTTCTCGTCTTCGGCGTCGTCGGCGTACGTCCTGTGCATGAACGACCAGCGGTCCTCGATCGCCTGCGCCAGGTCCGTCTGGGAACCCCCGATCGCACGCATGTACGACACCAGATCCCGAGCATCCTCTGCAGAGGCCTGTATGTCATGGCGGAGGTGGACGACGCCAGGCAGCGGCCCAGGCTCGGCGTGCATGCTGGATGCGAGCGGCTGCAATGCGCAGCAGTCACGGCACAAAGCTTGGCGCCAACCTGGGGAATGCTCAGCTCTGAAATCATGAAGTGCCTTAGCGTCTGCTTTCTCAGCTGCGATGCGGTGGGCCACTGCTGACTTTCGAATTCCATTCGCAAGAGCAATCGTCTCATCCGTCGTGTATTGGTGCAACGCTGCGTCCTCCATGAGCCTGTCTAGTGCAGGGCCCATAGCTTGCCCCCCGCCAGCCGCCACTCTGTTCGCGAGGGACGCCTTGAACTTCTGGCGCTCCACGTCCCTCCGCGATGGCCCAAAGGCGTTGCCCCTGCGGCCGCTCCGCCTCCGCTCAGCGGCTTCGCGGCCTTCCTTGATGCAGGTCTCGAGGAGCTCGTCGCCGACAGTGTCCTGCAGCGCGCGGTAGAGCCTCCCGACCTCCCTGAGGTCGTTCGATCCCGAATGCCTCACGAATGCCCTCCAAGCTCCGCCGCCTGAGCCCCGCGGAGGCCTCGCTGGAAGGTCGTCGCCCTGGTCGACGTTGGATGGTCGGTGGCCAGCGGGACCGCTGAGAGGCACTTCTCGATGTTGACGCACTGCCGTCCCCATCCATCTGCTGCTCAGGTCCATCGTGCATGGCTGGGGGCACTGAACGTGCTTCGTAACGATTCTCCTGAGGTGGCTGTTGTCGACCTCGAGCCTGTCCGTGTTGAGGTGGATAACCAACGCGTGGACGAGCAGCTTCAGCCGCGCCACATCTGTGCCGAGGTCGTTGGCTGCAAGGAACCGCCGAGACCATGCGTCCAACTGGCACGCGGGCGTGGCCTGAATGGCACCCGCCAGCTCCGGTTGGGCGAGCACCATGAAGAGACTGAAGGGAGGCTGCGTGTGCGGCAGCGCGATTAATTTCTCGATGAGAGCTCCAGCGGCACACAACCCTGTGAATACGTCAACCTTTAGCTTGTTCGTGAGCTCTGTCTCGCGGAGCACAAGCCAAATTGTTGGACAGAAGAGCAGCGTTCTCAAGCGGCGGAAAGCTCTAGTCTCGATGTCGCCACGGCTGTGCACGATGATCGGGTAGTCCCGCAGGATGCCTGAAGTGCCACTCCTGGCCCGACGCGCAGCCGCAGCTCGTTCTCTCTGCTCCCATTTTTTTGACCCGATGAATAATTCTTCTGCCTGCATCGTCTGCACGACGCTGAGTATCATCTTGAGCGCGACGACCTGTGAACACGGGGCGCACCCGCGGGTGCCAGACAGCCAGTCCTGTGCGATCCTCCTCTTTTTCGCCACCTCCTGCGCCCACACTGCAATTGGCGCCTTGCCCCTGGGGTCGTAATTGGGATCGTCCTGGGCGGCGCAAGCAAAAGCAAACGAACGCACACGCGTGCTCCAAACACCCCGCACTTGTGCCTGCAATGAAACAATTGTTTTGCGGTGTGTTCGGAGCACGTTGTGTTTTCGTTTGGGCTTGTTTGTGCCGTGCCAATCCTCGGCCGCCGCTGCCTCCTCAGCCCCCGCCTCGTCCATCAGCACGGGCAGGTCGGCCCCAGCAGCGGGTGCATCGACTGGGGCTGCGTGGACATGCCCGCCGACGCGGCGACAGAATAGGTTGTAGGCGTCCTTGAGAAGATCCGTCGTCAGGAGCAGAGGGATGGCGACGTCGCAGCAGGCCTCGTCGCCGCCCATCCACTTCTTCCTCTGGTACATCGAGAAGTTACGATACGAAATTGCTCTGGCGATTCCACGGGATACCAACTCGTAGAGCTGGTCCTGGTCGAATGGCTCAGCTGGGGGCACATAGATCTCGAGGCGCGGGGAGTCCCAATTCCCTGTCGCCAATGTCTCCAGCAAAGCGCGCACCACCGTGTGCGTGTCTGCCTTCCTGTTGATGAACCAACGTAAGATGAGCTTCCTGCGCTTCTCAACCTCCAAGCTGGGCCGCTCATGGATGATCGCGCACCTGGGCCGCAGCGTGTCCACGAGACACTGACGGAATGTATCCATATGAGCTTGGATGTTGAGCGATAGTACTAAATTGATCATTCCACTGATGGCGCCGTTGAACCGCCATGTGGCGAGGATTCGGGCTGACTGCAACATGTGTTGCTCGCACGGGAATAACAGCGGCGCCCATTGCGAAAATTTGTTCATCATGTGTCGAGATATCCTCCGTTCTACAACAAGGTTGCTCGGGTGGCGGTCGACGGAGGCCACCCGCGTGCACGTCTCGAAATGGCATTCTGGTAGTGTCGCTGCCGATGTCTCCCGCAGCGCGGCAAATATACACCCTGGCGTATTTCTGTGCAGAGGCTGAATATGCGAAGCGACCGCCCCAGTGATAATCGTGTAGCGCGTGTGGCCAGCATCGTCATCAGTGCCCAGTAGCATTGCATATTCTTGTTGCGTCTGGAACAACTTGGTGGGGACGCTCGCCCTGTTGGTCGGCAGGAGGGCCAGCGCGCAATTCGGCAACACACCGTGGTCAATGTCGAGCTCTTTGTGGCGGCCCCTGCTGCCTCTGAGCGTGAGAGGTGTCTCGTCGTACCCCACTGAATCTACCACGAGAAGGTTGCGGACCCGAACATCATTGAACATTGCACTCGCCAGCGTTCTGCGGCGACACCTGTCGATCATGAATGTGGACGCCGCCAGTAGTCGTCCAAGCTTGGCCACTGTATTGCGGCCCACCTGTGTGAAAGCAGCTTGGGCCGTCCGGGTAGCAAATGACAAATCGATAGCAGAAGTGCCAAACATAATATCATACACATTGATGGTGTCGTCGTCTTGATCAAGTGTGGCTGACTGGCTACGGGATCGGCATAGCGCAAGTGCGCGGCCCACATGGTAGATCAACGGTGGCTGGAGCAGTATTGTCGCAGTGTCATCATCTGCTTTGACCTCTGGTGGAACCTTCAGTGCTGCTATGAAATCATGGAGGTCCTGTCTCTCGAGCCGTCGTCGCTTAGCTGCTTCTTGAGCGGCCTGCCTCGCCACTGCAAGGTCGCCTCCTCTCCGAACAGGCCTCTGGATACTCTGGTCAGCCATTCCAGTAATCAGAACACACACGAAAATAACAGAGCGCAGTGATACATTCACACAAGAAAAAGGCCCTGAGGCCATATGAAATCAGAACACACTGATGACACGGAGTGCAAACACGAAGCTTGCGAATCGCATATGGATGAGCAACTGAATCAGCCAAAACGGCTATGGAAACTGGGCGGCGACACAGGCGATGCTGGACGGACGTGTCAACTCGTATCGTGGCCCAGCCCCCGCACGCTTGATGGCATCGGCGATGCGAAGGCCCTTCGTTGTACACAGGCACGCGGTGGAACGGCACACCCGCGCATAACACATGCGGCTCCGACCACGAGGGGGGGTGATCATCCGAGGGGGGCAACCGAAACGAACCGAACTACAATTGCGAAATACAACGAACAATGCCGCGAACGGACAAGAATCTGCACGAGGGACCTTCGGGAACACACTTGCCAACCAGAAACATCCTCACAAGGGGGGCGGGCGTTCATCACCAGCCGCAGAAGTAACAGAAACTGACATCATTCTAATGATACGTATACAACGCAATCGACAACTGAGGCGGAAACACCATTCAACAATGCATCTATAGAGATCATTGGGGCGACTGCTTCACAGACAATGCAAACGGCCATGCAAACAATACGATTCACCACTGCGTGGATTATACCCGAAGCCCTGCTCTGACTGTCTCGGCGGGGGCGCAGCGAAGCGAAAAGAAATGCACGGTGCTCTCTCGGGCGTTCTGAAGTCAATATATTCATCCTGCCGTTGCTGCTGGCCCCCCTCTTCCTTCCATTAGTCTCCTACTCCTCCTCCCCCCCCCCTTCACTTATTCCACGAAAAAGGAAGGGGTGTATATTGTGGGAGGGAGGAGGAGGAGGAGTGGGTTTGTATCGCACCAGGCCGCTCTACATGGAATAGTTAATCGAACACCATGGCTTTTTAAACATTATCCGCATGTGTTTTTTTGAGTATGTTGTAACGTTATTTGAAAACATATTCGCGGAGTATTTTCTAACCTTTTGGAACGAATTCCCACTTCTGCAGAGTGTAGCGACCTGGTGCGATATAAACCTAGACGCCACATTCTATACACACACACGAGGACAAAGACACGAGTTGACACACACACACACACACGCAAACACGCGCCCAGCCTGGCCTTTCGGAGCAGCTGCCTGCATGAGGAATCCGTCGACTTCTTCGGGGCCACCTGGTATCTCAAACTCTTCCTCCCCCGAGTCACCCCGGACCGGATCCGGAAATTCCAATGTGAGGGGTGTCGACCGAGCGCGTGCACACATACACATATACACACACACACACACTTTTGGCGTCGCGGCCCAACGCGCGGCGACGGGGCGAAGAAACTCGAATGCGGACACCCACGCACACATACACACACACACACACGCAAGCACACCCACACGCGTGCGCAAACGCCCACACACGCGCACACGCGCACACACACAAACACACACACACACACCAAGACAAACACACAGACACAGACACTAACACACACAGACAAGACACACACACACACACACGCACGCACGCAAGCACGCACGCACGCACGCACGCACGCACGCACGCACGCACTCACGCACTCACGCACGCAGGCACGCACCCGCGCGCACGCACAAAAGTACGCACGCACGCACGCACGCACGCACGCACGCACGCACGCACGCACGCAGGCACGCACGCACACACACACGCACGCACACACACACACACGCACACACACACACACACACACACACACACACACACACACACACACACACACACACACACACACACACACACACACACACACACACACACACACACACACACAAACACACACACACACAAACATACCACATGGATCGTGAGGTAAGGGCGCGTCTTGGACGCCTCTCGGGGCCTCACGGCGTGATTCTCAAGGGTCTCAAGGCCTCTGCAAGGCCTCTTGAAAGCCTCTCGGCGCCTCTCTTAACCCGCTCGGAAGCCTCTTGGGAGCGCCCACGGGGGCCTCCCGGACGGTTTTGGGGGCATGTTTGGAGCCACTGGGGCTCTCTTGGGGCCATCTTGGGCGCCTCCTAGGCTGTCTTGGGGCCCTAGCGAACCACTCATCTGCTGCACATGCACGCTGTCCCAAGGCAATGGGGCGACTTGGGCCTCTGGAGGCCGCCTCGAGAGGCCTCTCAACAGCCTCTTCTGGCTCCCGGGGCCCCGAAGGCCTGTCGGAGGCTGTCTCGGGCCGTCCTGGAAGGGTCCCGGGCTTCCTGGGAGCCCTGGGGGTCATCAGGGGCACGGGAGGACCGAGATGCAAACAAAGGAGGTCCGGGCCCTTGGGCCCCCATTTACATACAGGGCAATTTTTAAGACATGAGATTTGTTCAAATATGAGATGTTCAATCGTTTTTGATACGAAATCCCTGCATGTTTAATACATGATCCGCACGCGGAGCACGTATTAAAAACGACACTGTACACACGCACACACACATAGATCCATAGAGAGAGAGAGAGCGATAGAGAGAGAGAGAGAGAGAGAGAGAGAAAGAAAGAAATAAAGAAAGAGGGGCAAAGAGAACATGGTGCATTCATATTCAAACAAAAATCCCATGAAAGCTTTCGGGCAGCCCCCCACCCCTGCCCAGGGGCACCTTTCCAACGGCCGCTGGGTCTCCCCAGCTAGCTGCCCGCACTCTTCTGGACGCCGCGGAGGCCCATGAGGCCTCGCTGCGACCCCCCAGATGGACAAGAGATTCTGAGGGTGGCTCCCACATGGCCCCAAGATGGCCACAGCACGACCCAGCAAGCTCCCGAGAAGGTCCCCTGACACCCAAAACTTCCCAACGACGGCACAGCACTACCCAGCAGGCTCCCAAGAAGGCCCTAGCTAGGAGAGCCCCACAGGGGCAGCTAGATGCAAAAACCGTTTTTTTTTAAATCAAGTTTGGACGGATCTTTAGGATTCTCCCAAGAAGGCCCTAGCTAGGAGAGCCCCACAAGGGCAGCTAGAGGCAAAAACCGCATTTTATCATCAAATTTGGACGGATGTTTAGGATTCCCCTCATTTCGAGATTCCCATGGTGAAGGGGCCCCAGGACACACAAATAGAATATTCCCCATACTTTCCCATATTTTCTGGGGTTTTGTCTTCCCCCCGACTTCCCATATTTTCCCCAATTTTCTGGGGAATCGACGATTCATTGTGTCTGTGCGTTTTTTCCCTCCTGACATGGCCCGAGACGAACCCAGGGGCTCCCTCGGTCGCCCCCGGACGGCGGCAGCAGCCTCCAGGAGGGCCTCGAAAGTGCCCCGAGGGCCCCCGCACGCCAACACGCGCCGAAAGATGGCGCCCAGGAAACCCCACAAAAGCGTCGAGGGCCCCCTCCCCTGACCTTCCAGGAGGGCTAAAAAATGGCACCCGACTTAAAAACCTATCCCAGAGCAATTCTACGTCTTGGTTTTAGGCTGTTTCGCTCAGATGTTTAGGTTCTTAGGTTTCCAGTGCTAAAAGATAGCTCTCTGGAAGGTCAGGGTCAGACGGCCCCAGGGACCGCAAGCCGGCTCATGATGGCCCTGGGACAACGCACGCGGCCTCCAGGACGCCTCAGGTGTCTCCGACAGTCCCCCAATACTGCCAACATGTGCCCTCAGAGGCCTCCGGGGAACCAGGGGACGGCTCCCAAACGGCATTAAAACGGCCACAACACTACCCAGCAGGCTCCCCTGAACCTTCGGCAAGCCAATTGGGGACGACGCCCTCCGTGAAAAAACACAGCTTGCTCGAACAGCAGGTGCCTCTCTCCGAGAAAGCTGCACTGCACCTGCATCACTCTGGTTGAAATGGGCGCCAGCTACCACGCCAGCTGCCACTCCAAGAGCCGCATCAACATTATGTTGCTCCCATCGTGCTAAGGACCACATCCCAGAAATAATGTCGAGCACCCAGACCAGTGTCGAAGGAGTGTCGAAGCAGTGTCGGACGAGTGCCTTCCAGGGCCCGACACGTGAAAAACCATCGAGCTTCGGCACTTTTTTTGGTACTCGACATTCCTACTGGCGATCAAAAGGTTGGAACATCATAACGTTGGCAGGGGCCGCGGCTGGCGCGCCCGCGGGCGACACCGCCAAGCCAGCCGCGGCGCCAGCGCCGGGGGCCGCTGCAGCTCTGGCGGCCAGGGCGGCGGGACCCG